CCCCAAAACCCCAAAACCCCATGAGACATTATTTGTGCAATAATATGCACTCCAAAAGACTTGCTATTAAATTAAACTGAATTCAAAGTAATATAAGATATATTTCAATTTATAATATACAAATATTTAAATGGCTTCATTAAGTTATAATCAACAACAGCAGTAGGTATAATAGCAGTAGCCTGAAAGTACATCAAGCCACCTGATCAAAATCATGCAATAAAACTATCAAGAAAACGAAAAGTTTTTCGTGATATTCCTGACCTTTCTGTCTGTAACAGCTTATTATCCAGTTATAGTAGCACTAACCAAGCTACATAAAAACAGAGGATTTGACATAATTTTGAATCTGATGACAGTAATTGCACAGATCATGTACAAGATCACATTAGTCTTCTAGTATAATGAGATATTTATCAGTGAGTAAGGATGGTATAAAATGCTCAACATATCAATGCTTCTCTAATTTTGTTCACTTATGATTTATTTGGCAAGGATACCCAAGGAGTTAAGAGGTTACTTGATGGGTGTTGGCACTATAGTTATATTGCTGGCTTAGGAAAAGGACTCTTAATCTTTCAAATATGCTCTGATACCCTTGATCTTCAACAACTTTTTCATGATTTCATCTTAGTGCTTCTTACAGGGACCTGTATATGTAAATACTAGAATGGTTGTATTTGGAGCCATTTGGTATATTATCTCAATCATTGCGTTTGTTGGACAATATCATAAATTTTTGGACTTCTTCCTTTTCTTCTAAGACCTCACTATATTCTCAACAGGCTTATCTTTATTTTACTCTTGGTAAACTTACGAGAAAAACGATATAACTTTTGAGAATTTTATCTAATTACATGCAGATTAATATAGAGAGTTAATGGATTAGAAAAGAAGAAGATAAAATGAATCAAGACTTGAAGAAAGTGAATTAGGAAACTTAAAACGCTTGGAAGAGAAATCCAATAGAAAGCAAGAGGCGAAAAAACAATAGAAGCTCAAGTAAATGAAAATGGGTACAGGAGATGAGGAAAGTGGAATTTTACTTGAGCTAAATCCATCTCCAAAAAGAGACATTGAGAATGGATTGAAGCAAGGCATGCTAAAGACAGTTTGAATTTAGGGCATAAACAAATAATCTATAGACAAAGAAGACAGTAATAAAAAGGATTATTGAGCATTGAGAGGGAAGACAGTGAATATTAAATGTATATTGGGGGCTTAAGAAATTAAGATTAATTAAAAAACTTTAACACTTCGACTGAAGAAGTTGTCTATAAATAATTTCAACAGTCGATTTGTTTGTCATTGCTAAAACGTCTATGTCTTCAAAATTTTACATTCCTCAAAAGATGCATTTCTACTTATTTATAATGTTTCAAAATATCTTAGCAGGTAGGTTCATTCAAGTAATCTTGAAATACTTAAACAATCATCATGAACTGGAAATGATATGCTTCACATGCATATTTTTGCATCTTTGGCTAGTAAAGGGAATATGCTCTTGAAGGTATTAACTGATCAAGGGTATTTTCAAAATCTTAATCCTCGGAATTCTCTTATTTTTCTTCCTCCTTTAGACTTATCTTATCCATAGACTCCTTGACTATCTCTTCCTCTGACTTGAAACTCTACCTGTATCCTGTATCACCATGAATCAAATTATCTACTTATGAGCTTCGTTGATTTGATCTATATTCATTGTAGAAATTTGAAAACTTATCAGAGAGACTATTAACTTTAGACTTAAACCTCTAATCACCCTCATCGATTTCATTAGGTTTACTGTTAGTCGTCTTACTCTCCTTAGAATCTCTCAATGTGTAAATAAATTACTCTGAGAATTTTATCTCTTTATCGAGAATTTTAAAGCTGCATAGATCTTTAGTTCTCCACATGCTAGTAGTTAATAATGTTGTATTATCTAGATTTCTTAACCTTAACATCATATTTTCATATTACTCTTAAAAAGATGGCAACTAAATTTACTAGTGAATTACATTGTGTAAATGCTTAAGATCCTCAATTTCTAGCAATAATTATAGTTGCTAGTGCTATTCAGCCAATTCTTAACTTTCATCATTAAGTCCATATAATAATTTGAAGGCTATAATAAGTAGACCAACTGCTTCAAACTAAGGAAAAAGTTATTGCTTTAATTTGTGTTATACTAGATTAAGCAATGTTAAAGTTACATTCTTGACCTATGGTGAAATAAATAGCTCATCAGAAATTTTAATGACTAGCTAATAGATATTGGATGAAGTCATATTTATTTTATCAATCTTGTGAAAATCTGAGGATATGTCTCTTAACCATTTGTTTCTAAACGGTACATTAATAGGTCTTAGTAAATAATTAGCTTTTGCAAGATGTCTATGCTTTTTAAATGCAGTTAAGTATCCTATAGTATTATTCTGTGCTGCTTTCAACACTTCACCTTCTAAAATACCATATTGCCTACTGGCCATGTATATAAAGGCTAGTATTAGATTTAATTCAAGTGAATGAGTTGGCGGCTTGGTCTTGGCTAATGTTGATTCTTCTGGTTTTTATAGCATAGCATTGAATTCATCTTAAACATTCTCATTTTCTTCTTTTATTCTTTTAAGAAACAGATGCATCATTTATTCTTCTAATGATTTTTTTGCTAGCCCATTCTATTCCAGTTCTTATTCATATTTATGAAAGATAAATTCCTGTACTTGCTTTCTACTCATATTAAGATCTATATCTTAAATGTCCTCTGGATTTATCATGTCAGGTATCTATCCTTCCTCAAGATCAGAGTCTTTACCGAGCTACATTAAAGTACTTTCTAATTTTTTGGAAGTTAAATAATCTCTAACAGAACTTTTATCTAGTAATAGGTGATATAGGAATAAAGTTATTATTATTCTATCCTTTTAGGTCTTTAACCCTAATAATTTGAAGCATCTGTAATCAATCTATAGCTTTTCCTTGCAAATTTTTATCAATGCTAGTTTAGAGGGCAGAATAGAGTCATTAATCAGAACATTAGATGTCCTCTTAAATTTAATCTCTTTGATTGAGCTTATTAAATCACTATCGCTGTACTTCAACTTCACGAATAGTTTAGCTCTTTACAATAGTGTGAGTAAGAAGCATTCAATTGAGGTAAAATCTAATAAAATTTCTGCATCTTCTTTAGTTCTTAGGTCTTATATTTCTAGCATATAATTAGTTTTAAGAAGAGAAGTGCTGCCATCTGCACTGGTTGAGCCAGTTGACATTTTACTAGATTTCTTAGCATCTCTCTTCCTATGAGTCTTTCTAGTCTTGTAATATATTTTCTGGAACAGATCAAACTGTTGTAATTCTGATTTCATTTTTAGCTTTTCAAAATTGACAGAAGGATTAAGCTCAGTATTGATTTGTTCAGAACCTTCTATTTTAGGATTTATTCCTCCAGTTGAATCAACTATCTCTCCCTCTTCAATTTCAATTTCATTTTCTTCTTTAATAGATGAGTAATGACTTCTATTTAAATTTTATAGTTCTTGTGACTAAGGATTATGCTAGTATGATTAGTTTTATTCTATTTTATCCTCTGCCATTTATTCTTCCTTTTTAAGTGCTTCTTCTTTGCATTCACTCTCTAGATTATAAGAGTTGCCTATCGATTCAATTTAGGTTCGCTTTAAGCCACTATACCTGCTAACATTATTGATTCTTAACTATCCTCTACGTTCCATAGTTAAAGAACTTACTGGCTTATGATCTTAAAGAGTGCAATTATTCCATTTGTCCATGTACTATTAGTAAATCTCTTTTACTTTAGTCATGAACTCTACCTAATCATCAACAGATGCGATATATCTCTTTGCAAATTTGTCAGCAATTGAATGGAACATCTATTCATAAGCGTTTAGATATTCTTAATAGCTCTCACTTTTCCTTTTTAGAGCCCTAAGTTTTAATAAAGATAGTCCGTTTGATGCCTCGTCCTAGTTGTTATTCTTTTTGATTGTTGATTTATCATCGCCTATTATTTAAAAGCCTTTAGTTATTATCTAATTGTGCTCATCATCTTCTTCTTTTAAAGCTAAAGATGAAACATTCTTTCTTAGATCTGAAAGTTTTTTAGGGGAAGTTTACTTTTCTTTAACATCATCAATTTTCATTTTAGGTCCTTTACCCCTTTGCTAGTCATCATATTCCAGCTTAGCATTTTTCTTTATATTGTCGATTTCTTTACCGCAATTAGTGCATACGATAGAATTATCGAGTGTCTTAAATTCTGTCTCGAAACAAGAAGTACACATTTAAGCATTTTAGCCCATCTCATTAAAGCCAAAATGAAAGTCTTCTTCGTCAGACTAATGTAGAGAGGATCCACCTGCATCACTCATTTTATATTTATTGATTAAGAGCCTGTTAATAAGTTTATATTTATTTGTTAATTATAAATATTATTTTTAATCAGCTTACCATTTTTAGCCAATACCTTCAAGGGGTTTTGGGGTTTTGGGGTTTTGGGGTTTTGGGG